ACCACATGAGTATGCATACTCTATTGGATTCTCTGCCTACTGCCTTTTTATATCCTGTTAAGTGTTTCACCTATGTTGTATAGTACTGTGTTTAGTATTGTAGTAAAGTCCATGAAAATGTCCCAAGTGTATTTCTGTTGACTTTACCACTCTGATTACTATAAACCTATAGACAGAGTCTAATGAACCCTGATAATGTATGTCATAAACTAAGCTTTCGATCTTATTGATGCATGTAAACAGCAAGTTTTAGCCTGCAAAGTCTTGGAAAAAACATTAATTAAAAAATTCACTGACAATGAACCAAAAACACTTACTTGCGCATAGCAACTGAATATTCGATGTGATCGTACAGGACTGAAGAACATGAATGGCACTGGTATTTCAATAACAAATGTTGCAACCACACACAGTTTGTGCCACCAACCTGGCAACTGATGGAAGTACCAGGCCAGTGTGGTTGGAATGCACTGAGATTCATAATGAACATTCAGAGCTGTAAAGGAAACATTACATTATACTATGGATCTATGGATCCACTTTTTAAAGACTTTAATGGAATCTCTATAAAATTCCAACTTTTATTACATATAATCAACATACAATGATCATAAACTTCATTACATCAATATTGTAATTTTTAATTAAAGAGCCAATATGCTTGCAGTAAATACTCTGAACATTCACTTTCACTTTTAGTTTAAATTATTTATCAATGCAATATCACATCAACAAAGAAAGTATAAACAGGTGATCATGCCAAGTTAAATTACCTGTTAGTCCCCACCACGTAGGACAACCACTCTGAAGTTTAACGACACCTGAGGCAAACATGAGTCTGAAGAGCACCCAGCGTATAAGCCACATGGTGACTAAGTTTCTAGGCCGATACTCAAACCATCCTCGACGACTTACAGGTGCCACTAGTATGGTAAGGAACCCAACTTCCAAAAGGAGAATATCCCTATAAAATTCAATCACATTAAATTCTCCTACATACTTATTTATGTAATATTACTATTCAATAAAAATACTATAAACATTCTAGCAATTATTGCATTTTTAGGGCATTTCAAAGACTTGAAGTAAACATCTAAAATATTTTGTATGAGTGGTGTAAAAACAGAAAACTGCAAACTTACCACTGAAACCACAAGAAAGTCTGTCCAACCTGGTACAGTGACAGATATGAACTCCAAAGTAACAGGAAGAGAGTTGCTGTACACCATGATTTCCAAACCATCCTGCAGGGTAATATGAAATGAAAATAAGAACTAAGAATTATAAACTTTTATGAACATGAAAAAACAGCAATTTATATGTTTGCATATATTCATATATAATAATTCTAAGTTATTAATAATGTATCATAAAATATAATCTGTTTAACTTACCCAATGAAACTAAGGACTGTCCCTGCCAGTGAAATAAACTCCATCATATATGATACATTAAGGCCAAAATAGGATGAAAAGCACAAAAAAGTTAATTTGTCCATAAAACATTGCTTTGGATACTTCAGATTTGGAAGCTGTGTGTGAGCAGGTAGAACCCCCTTCTCGCCATATAGCCCTGTGAAGATGGAAGACAAATTTTTTTAAAGAAAAAGTTATCTACATTTTGCATACAGTATAGCCACTTTTGGTTCTTTGTAAAGGGAATGTTATAAAAGTATCTGTTTAAATCTAATCACTGCATCATGTGTCAGTAGCTAGATTTTGATAACTCAAAGCTTCAAGAACACACTGCAAAACCCCCCCTAACTCCCACATTCTTGGCAGGGGATGTCATGGAAGGTACCAGGGAAATTATGGGGTAAAATGTGGCTAATATAAACCAAATACATCACTTTAATATTAATATACAAAGCACATATCAATATACTGTCTAACACAGGAGGTTATGCCTCCTGCAACACCCATCTAAGGGTATGGCCACATGATTTGCTGGAAGTAGTGAAGAAATAACAAGTGTTGTTATTTAACAGAGGGTGGTGTGGGACCCTGCAGATCCCTTACACAAGAATGTTGGTGCACTCAAAAAATGGTGGGCTGATATATCTGAACAATTAAGTATAACAGGTAAGTTATACATTGTGTTGACTCATTGATTGGTGTACCATGATTAGGCTATTATTTACTTTTCAACTGGTCTACCTTTCTCTAATGGATACAATAGATTACCTTTATATAGATATTGAGCATGTAATTGTTGATTCACTTAAACATCTAAATAATGACTAACTTACTTCTCATATGGGGGTTGCAGGTAGCAAAGCCCCCAAGAATACAGTAGGTATATCTAAGTATGATATATGCTCATAGTATGATCACAGTAACTGGGAATGCCCATTGCCAAGTCTATGTCATCCCAAGTTGGGGATTGGGAGGTGGCAGCCCCCCATCCATTAGGGTGTTGATTATATACTCACTAATTCTGTATGTTATTCATATTTTGCCACCCCACCTTTTCTGGTACCTTTCATACCCTTCTCTGCTCTGCCAAGATTGTAGAATTAGGAGTGTTTCTGTGACATAATTTCTATATACATAGGTAGTGGAGAGTGAGAGGAATCCATTAATACCATTATCATGATTGGTCAAATGAAAGTCTTCTTAATAATTTCCAAAATATAGTCTACAGTATGGAACCTGAAAACATTACAATAATTTTTGACACCTTGTGGGAATACTAGTAATGTTTGCCAGGTATCCTATACGTTCTCATCCAACTTCCTTTAGAAAGTTATATAGAGTAAAACAAAAAATAAAAGAAAAAAACTAATAAAAAGGAATTGCAAAAACTAGTAGCAGGGGAATAATCAAATTAATTAATGAAGAGTCCAATAAAAGTAACTAAATAGGTAATTGTTTAAAATACCTTCACATGACAATCACAACAGCAGTGGATTCCTCTCTGCCTCTTCTACCCATATATGTAGGACATTTGCCACAGAAACCTCCTAAACCCTCACATTTTTGGCCCCAATACCAGAGGAGGGCATGGAAGGTTCCAGGGAAATTATAAATGAAATATCTCACTTTAATAATATATGCAGAATAAGTTACTATATTGTCAAATGCAGGGAGCTGTGCTATTGCAGGGCTGGGAAGTGGTAGCCCCACAGAAGGGGGTCGCAGGTAGCACAGCCCCCTGCTACTGCCCCCAAATCTGGCTCTGGAAGACAAAAATTCTTCCATGTATTCACAGCAGGAGGCACAGCCCCCTGCATTTGACTATATATAAACTAATTCTCAAATTTCCCTGGCATCATTCATATCTTCCCTTGTCAATAGAACCAAGAATGTAGATGTTGGAAGTGTTTCCATGACATAATTTCTATATACATTAGTAGATGGTGAGAGGAATCCATTGATACCCCTTTCATTATCAGTCATGGGAAGGTATTCCAAATATTTACCACTAGAAAAAGAAAACAAAAAATACAAACGTTCCAGTGGAATAAAGAAAATTGTGGGATAAAAATAAATGAGACTATGTTTAGGAAATCTGCATGATCCACAAGAGGCACTAAGCATCTGTAATCTAAGATCATTACAAACAGATCCTAAATAGAAATATAGTATAATTTCAGTTTCCCAAAGCAGTTTCCTAAAACATCAATTAATCTTTCACAATACCTTCACATGAAAGATTGTGACAATTCTGGTATGGATGGTTTCCTATGACCCTCTAGTACACATATATGTAGGAATCATGCCACGGAACTCCCCCAAACCCCCATATTCTCCGCCCAATGCGAGGGAATGTAAGGTACCATGGAAATTGCGGGGTAAACTAACAATATAATATATAAACTGATACTTGCAGGGACTGCACACCCCTGCAGTCCCTCCAAGGGAGGCTGCTACCTACAAACCTTGCCAAGGAAAACAAAGAATCTTCCATATATTCACAGAAGGAGAGAGAGTTGGACATACTCGGCATTCGGTAGGTCATACGTTAAGATTTTTTTGTCATCTATTGCAGGATCTGGGGGAGTGGCAGCCCCCCCTGGAGAGAGGTTGTTGACAATATAGTAACTGATTCTGTGTATATTATTCATATTTCACCCTGCAATTTCCCTGGTACCTTTCATGCCCTCCCCTATTATCAGGCCCAATATCGTTATTAAATGGGGGGTTTCCATAGCACAATTTCTATATATCTGGATAGTAAAGAGTAAGAGAAATCCATCAATACCAACATCGACAGGATCAGTTGTGCAAAGGTAGTCTGAAAAATTACCAAATATATTTTGTGTAGGTAATTACACATATGGTGCTGACCTCTATGGAGCAGCTATCTTTTTTTTTCTTAAATTTATGCAATGCATATAGCAATATCTTTTATTAGATGATATAACCTAAGAACAGAATTATTTGTAATGTTACTAATAACATAAGTGTATCATTTGCAATACAAGTAATAATATTAATATTTCAATATTAAACTTTAAAAACTGAAATTTTGGGAAGATCTAATATAAAAAGTTCAAATATCACAAGAATAAAATCAAATAATAAAAGTGTACACATAAAAGAATTCTTTTTTTATATCATAAACATACGAGAGAAAATGACAACGAAATGACACTTGTCACATTGTTTGGAACAGAAATAAAAATGACATCAGCATGCAACGGTTTCAATCATCAATAATCTAAGACATAAGAAAACTATATAGAAGTAATCAAACATATTAGAAATAATAATAATAGTAATATTCCAAGACTAACCTGGGATTTGTAGGTAAAGAGATCCAAATGCAAACATATAAATTCCACACATACATCTCAGGAAGAAATTCCTTGTATGTAATATATCGACCGCCATCTCAAATAATTCAGGAAGTGATGAGAAATGGTTATGCCAGTGATCATTAAATAAAAGGGGAAAAATGAGAGAGGGAGAGAAAGATATTATTTGCTCTGATGCCGCAGCGTGAGGCGAGCGTGGTTGCCACACTGCCTGGACGAAGAATTTTTAATTATTTTTTCTCCGTTTCTTCCGCTTTCCCCAGGTTTCGTTTGTTTTTATTTTTGTTTCTCTTTATATTTTCGCTTTCGGGGTTTTCACATTTTTAAACTTTAGACTATAATGAAGGAATTATGTGTTTATTTATCTATATTTTCAAGGGTTGAAATTAGAGGTCGGTTAATATAATATGACAAATGGCAAGGTGGTAATGTCCAAAACAGACAAGTGTCAAATATATGAATAAATAGAACTACCAATTCAGTTTCTCTTGCACTATTCTCTGCATTAAATATTCCCCAAACATTATCTACATTTGTGTATTATGTATCTAATGTATAATAACGTCTTGTCATCCTGATAGTAATGTGTGGTTAGCAATCTCTATAATTATTCACTATAGATTCTATATGGTTAGTTTGTATATTTTTTTCTGAGGAAATATGCTTTGGGGGATTTTCAACACAGGGATATAGAAGGTAGAATATCAAGAACTCTATATTATTCTGCATATATTGAAAAAATGAGATTCACCTAACTGGTTATATTTTCGTTATGTATATATATATATATATATATATATATATATATATATATATATATATATATATATATATATGTGTGTGTGTGTGTGTGTGTGTGTGTGTGTGTGTGTGTGTGTGTGTGTGTGTGTGTGTGTGTGTGTGTGTTTTCTCAATCGGTTTGGTGTTGCGTGAAATGAAACTGCATTAGATAAATCAATAATCATAAAGTTGATTATCTTGGAATTCAGAACCAGAAGGGTGTCATTGCTTATCGATAATATTGGAATTAAATTTGCAGACGTATGAATCATGATTGAATTATGCATGCGTGTACAAAAATGGAGAGAGAGAGAGAGAGAGAGAGAGAGAGAGAGAGAGAGAGAGAGAGAGAGAGAGAGAGAGAGAGAGAGAGAGAGAGAGAGAGAGAGAGAGAGAGATAATAATAATACGTAGATATACACTTGCTCAGATGTAAGCGTTTCAGTAAGTGCATAGTTTATAACATATTGATAAGGTGGTGAATGCTAATTAAAGGTCAGTCGATATAGGGGACTACATATGTATCATAATTTTAAGGATTCCGGTGAGAAGGCTACAGTATGGATCTACAGAAAGACTAGATGTAAAGTACGGTATATTTATCAAATAATTTCTATATAATACAAATGTGCAACAAATATATTTATACATTGTTAAAAAACAATCGCCGTATAAATACCCATTCAAGTAAGAAATGTATGGTTTACACATAAACACTATTTAGTTATGTGATATTCAAAGACATACAGCTGCAATAAGTCAAAAAAACATATTGCAGATCTCAGGTCACCTTCTGACCGTGGAAACAGACACATTCTGAATTTCTTGTCATACGTACGTAGATGACTATTTTTTCATGATTTCACTTTTCAAAACTAAAACAATGATAATCAGTGTCACCATAATGATGCTATATTGTATAAAAAGCTCTTTGCTCACTCTGAAAAAGGATGCCCTGACACTGGTGTATCATAATCCATTAGGCATATGATTTTCATTTCCATATCAGACTTTATCTAATACATTCCCAATATTTTTTTTCATTCACGCAATCATATTTAAAAATTATATATGAGGAAAAGGTATGAATGAGAATGAATATCTTCGCAATACAAGAAATTTATTTCTGACGAAAATATTCGAAGCCTTCGAAGCGATCTTTGGTATTTGGTCAACATGAATACTGTTCACACACACACACACACACACACACACACACACACACACACACACACACACACACACACACACACACACACACACACACACACACACATATACACACAGATAATATTGAGATATTCAGATAACCGGACTTGAGATTCGTTTAATAATTTATGCAATCCAACCAACGATTTGCACATCCGAATGAACGATCACACAATCTAAGAAGCGATTCACGAGTCTTGGTCCATCCGCCTAACTATTTACATAATTGCTAACACAACACAATAATCCAAATAATGATTCACACAATGATCCACAGAGCCAGTTAACCCAATAAACCAACAAATGACTCACATGATGATTGACATAAACAAACCAACGATTCACACAATCCACTAACCTAATAACTCCATTAATAATTCACACAGTCGAATAACCCAACAAATAATTCAGGTAATTATTAACACGATCCAGCTACCGGTTTATTTGATGATTAAAACAATACAAATATCGAACACATGATACACATAATACTTCTCACAATATCCAGCTTCACATGATAATGATAATATTCATATAATAATAATTATCACATCCATATAATATAATGATAATGATAATATCCAGGTTCACATGATAATTATAATATCCATACAATATAATGATATTATCCATATAATGGTGATTAACATATCCATATATAATGATAATGATAATATCTAGGTTCACATGATAATTATAATATCCATACAATATGATGATAATGATAATATCCAGGTTCACATGATAATTCACGCACGATCAAGCTAATTCTTATAAAGCTAACTGATTCACATGACGACTCATAATCCATTGATCGAACGCACACCAGTGTTGTCCAAACTGGGGTACACACCATACATCATGGGGGTACGTGAACAAACAAGGAACACACACGCCTCACATCTCACATTAAGTTGTGTAAGTATTTTTCAAGCATTTTCTTACTGAATTTATTCGTGTATTAAATTCGAATTTATTAACCAACACTTGCGATGCAGTCTTTTCATAATTAGTATAGTATTTGCATTATCCCAATTAAAAGTTTGTTTAGCCTTAGTGGACGAGGGGGGGGGGGTTACGTAACAGTACAAGAAGGTAATAAAGGGTACAATAGGCGAAAATGTTTGGACAACACTGGAATACACGATTCACGTAACCAGCGACTGCTATAACAACAACTCATCGACACCCACAAATGGTAGCATCGAGATCACTAACGCCGATTTTCCTCAGTTTTCCGCTCTGCCAGATGATGAAAGGGAGGTATTTGTAGAACGTGGGTGTGCACTGAGGGGAGGGCACAGACGCTGATGACCGTAAAAACCTGGAGAGAAATGTAAGAATTATATAATGCATGCACAGTCACATTTACATACCACACAAACACTATGCTGTATAAATAATGTTTATGTCTATATATATATATATATATATATATATATATATATATATATATATATATAAATTATACATGTATATGCATAATGTATATCTATTTCTTTATATATGCATATATTGTATAAATATATGCATGTTACATATTCTTGGCTTTATTTTTTGCTGTTGTTACAAAAAATTTCCTGAAAGAATTTTTGCATGTTTTATCGACAGTTTACCTTGTAGAACTTGTCTAGATTTGATACTGATTTTACTTTACCTACGCCAAATAACATTCCACGTAATAGAAACCGCAAACATCGACCTCAGAAGTCAACAGCCTTATATCTTTATTATTCAGAAATTGTTCTCAAATTCAATAAATGGCCAGGGAACTTTTTATACTATGTCTGGTTACGCTTGTTACTTAAAACACACTGGAGACTAAGCGATCAAACTTTGCATACGTATTTGACCAATCCTCACAGTAAAATCATATACAAATTCTTTCCTTACTCTACAATCTACAAATACAAGTCGCCAAAGAACATTTTCAAAATGTCCAGGGATATCACTTTACTAACAACAATTATGCTTGCATTCTCAAACACCAAGCATGCAGCAATATTTACGTATTAGACTAATCACCATTACATATATTATACAAATGTTCATTCCTTACTAACTTGTATTTAACGCGCATCAAGGCATTGGTTGAAAACATTGCAGGGTCATCGATCACGTGACACGACCCTTTGCAGAATTTCATGTCAACCGTCGTTGGGTAGACCACGTTGTTCAGGCCAAGCTCATCGAGGGACACCGACACCATTGACATCTGTAGGGCAGGGGATGGAGGCGGCGGTGAGAAAATGCTGGTCAGTAAAAAAAAAAAATAATAATAATAATAATAATGAAGATAATATACTCTCACATACATTCTGTCTTTTTCTCTCTTCCCGGCTCTCTTCATCTTCTCTCTCTCTTCTCTCTCATCTCTCTCTCTGTCTCTCTCTCTCTCCTCTCTCTCCTCTCTCTCTTCTCTCTCACACAACACCACACCACTAACTCTTCACTCTATCTCATCTCTCTCTCTCTCTCTCTCTCCTCTCTCTCTCTCTCTCTCTCTCTCTCTCTCTCTCTCTCTCTCTCTCTCTCTCTCACTCTCTCACTCACTCACTCACTCACTCACTCACTCACTCACTCACTCACTCACAACTCACTTTTTTTTTTCTATTATTTTTCTTTTTGTTTTACCTCTCTTTCCTTTGCTCCTGCTCCTTCTCCTTCTCTCTATTTCTTACGGCCACACACAAATATACGCATATACACAGACACGCCCGAATGCCTAGTCCCATCCCGTTAAAACAGACATGATCTACGTGCATTTACCTGACACTCCTCGCTGGCCTCCCTCCGACGCCTTCCGAGAGGCGGCAGCGTCGCAACCGCTTCCGTCCCCCGAGCCATCACTTCAGCCATCCTTCCGGCAAGAGTTTCCCTGAGAGCGTCCTCGAGGCCATCGTCCTCCCGAACCGCAAACGTCGTGTTGTGGTCCAGGACGGTGACGACGGGCTGCAGCAAGGAGTGGCGAAGGTGCTGGGAAAAGCTTGTGTTGTCACGACTATCGCCAGCGTCAGGAGGAGGATTTGCCTCTCGCGTTTCGAAAAGAATTGAGAATTCGGAGCCTCTGGCCACCCAGTCGTTGAGGTGGTATGAGAGGTTCACCACCAGGCAATCGGAAGGTGCTTCGAGGCCTTGGGTGAGCTCTGCGACGGGCGTGGCGGGGAGGAGGAGATGCGAGGGGGACGGGGTCTTGGCATTAGGCTGAAGAGCAATGTGATGTACAGTAGTTGATCCTCGTGGGTTCTTGAGGATCAGCTGGAACTTCTGCACGGAGCTATGGAGGAACATTTCGACGTCTGCTATGCCGTCGTGTCCCTGAACTGCCTTGAAGTACCATCTCTGGCCGGCAGCCGAATCCTCATCTGTCGATAACGTTCATTTGCTGTTAGATAGTTTTTTTTCGGACTGTTACCATAGAATATAATCCCAAGAAAAGGAATTAATAATTTATATTCTTATGCTTAAATTAATGCTTTGTTCATTAGTAATAATTTTATAACACAATAATACCGTTATTATCTTTAGTATTATCAACATTACCTATAGTATCATCACTAATGCTATATTTCGTAAAAACAAACAACCTTTACATCACCATCACCGAAATATACCACTTACATGTATCCGGTTGGTAAAGAGTGACAGGGCGGGTCGTGCGGTCGTAGAGAAGAGTGATCGTAGGCAAGAGTCGTTCTGTCCTCATCCAAATCTTCCCTTCCTTCTTCGAGTGGAACGGCGACCCTCTTCTCTTAGCAGGTTCTTCGTAGTCTTCATTTCGCCAAGTACGATCTGTGCTCTGTGGTCGCAAGAGGAGATTATGGTTGAAAAGGTTGCGTATTCATTATTGGTTGTCACTAGATAACAGATTCATCATTACAGAACGTTATTTGGGAAAGATTTTGATTTATTTCGTTTTATTTTCCAGTTATATTTCTGTTGAGGGTATTTATTTATACGCATATATGTTCATTTATGTATGCCTATCATTTTCTCATTTATATATAGGTCTGTTATATAATGGTTCATATTTTTTCCTGCTTAGATATTTATTCATATGTTGAGAAGAAGGCACACGACGAAATGCTTCTAGTATTCAGACCCTCGCTCACCTCGCTGATGACCTTTGGCTCTGACTTCGGAAAGGACAAGAGAGGAAAAAGCAGCGGGAACGCCAGCAGAAGGACAAGCAGAAGTATTACGACGATCAGTAGCGCTCTTCCCCTTCCCAGCAGAGCCTCCTGCGACGACATAACACAAATCAAAACGCTGCTGTGTCAAAGATGTGCAAAACCACAAAAAATGGTTTGGAATAGTACGATGTATTAGAAAAAATGTTAAGTTCCTCCAGGTATACATACACATACATGTATACATACATACATATATATGTGTGTGTGTGTGTGTGTGCGCGCGCGCGCGCACATCCATATCTTTATGTAAATAGATATAGTTATAATTTTAGTTACCGTATTTGGGCTATGACAAAAATGCTACTAATCTGACCTTACAAATGTGAAATCTATTTAAGAATAGAGATTAAAGGAAACATTTTTTTTCCTGAAAAAAATCCAAATGGTTTTATGCGTAATAGAAATAAAGGAACCAGTTTCCACCAAACATTATATCTGCAAAAATGTTGAAAAAGACAAAAATACGACAGCTTAACAAGCGAAAAGGAAGAAATTTATATGTGGAAATTCGGCATTTAATAAAGGAAACGAGTCAACATATTTTATATGCGACTACTGTTTGACAAACGCTTTATGGCAGTCGAAAATACTATCGAATAATTTAGATGACTTAATTGTACTTGGATAACTAGTTTACATCCTTTACAGTTTCTGAATGGATATCTATTGAAGTCACTACATCTACCTACCTATTGTTTTACTTCTGTTTTTGTCACTATTTGTTTCTTATTGCCGATATCTCTCTTGCACTTTAAGAATACTTATTGTGCAATGTACGTGTAAACAAACATTCAAAATATAAGCCACGTAATTTAAGTAAGAAGAAGGTGACTCCGACAATACAAGTTTACCACTTACTTCTGCGAAGCATGTTCTCTTTCTATCGCACTCTCCTTCCTTTCCACCTTTCCGCGACGCCTCCGGGTCTGCGACGTTGTTATCCTTCACCTTCAGAAAATCTGTACCGTTTTTTTCACACACTTTTGCAGAAGTCCGTACTGATTTTACATCATTCGTAGTCAGACATTCCATCTCGGAACAGTTTTCAAAGTCCGTGGTTCTACAATATTGGTAACAGGTCGCTGACATGTTACACCAACCAACAAGACCAACAAAAACACACCCGGTACACAGCTGGTTTGATGGCCAAGGCAGTCGAGACCAGCGAGCTAAACGTCTATCTGCCGCGAATGCTGCTGGGCAAATGAACTCGCAGAGAGGAAGCAGAGGTCAGACCATGTGGCTGTTGACCAGTAAGATCAACGCGGATATGCCAAGCTGTCAAATCTGCTCTTGTTGTGACGTTGTTTTATCTTAGCTGATACTGATGGCATCGGTTCCAAAACATACTGGATTCCATTCATCAAACCAGTATGCTAATTTAATATATTCTCAATGCCACGGTTTTACTCTTGATAATGCTTTTACTTATCGAGGATTCTGTCTCATACATGTATTCGTTCCTTGTGCGATGCCATATGCACTGGGTATGAAAAACTGAAAACCTGTTGTTTGCTGTTTGTATTGAAAAAACACGAAGATTGCAGTTCATTCAGTTT